CACACGGCACGTCTGGAGCTGCAATCCACGTCCATGCAGCATCGGTTCTCGGCGCAGCTGTGTCAAGGCCTATCGCCGGAGATGGTGACTGTGTATGCGAAGCGCGGCAGCCGTGTCGCTGTGGTGGTAGACGCATGGAACGTGGAGAAAGAATGTGAGGCGCTTGGTTCCTCCTCGCGGGCATCTTGGACGAGACAGAGCGCTGACATATATCGGTGTGTGAGCAGCACACTACGAATGGGAGATTGCGTTTCAACCACGGGATGTCGACATGGCGTCCGTGCGTGTTCAGCTGGAGGCTGATGGGCAGCTGATGATGACGGTGCGACGACGAGGGTTTGGAGTTGGGAGTACTGCTTGCCCTGTGATTCGTGAAGGGTTGCGTTGACGATTAGCAAATGGACCCTGGTTGCCCGAAGAATATCGTTTGGTTCGTAAAGCCTGTGATGACGACGTCGCTTTTGTGAGAAATGTGTTTTTCGGAAAGGGTACTGTGCGAGTCTAAGCTGCAGTAGCGCAGAGCTTTGTTACGACACATGCATGGCTGTGTCAAGTACGGTGCGCCATTCACTCGGGACTTTCGCTGCCATTGAAGTATCGATCAATGTCCTGACTGCGAGCTGATTTCCGCATAGCCACTGATCGCGCATAAAGGCTGATCTAGCGAGGTTCGAAATGACTCGATAATCTAAGCATCGTGGCTGTGCGTGCAACGACCCGAATGCTGACCGCCATGTCCGCTTCCAAGAAATTCAAGACGAAGGACATTGTCGATCCGGGTGAGCTGTAGCTGTCCAGGTAGTTGGTTGTTTTGCTCACAGGACGACGATGCTCCAGGATATCCTCTACTTGAGGCCAACCGCGCGCTTATAGAGTCAATCCAGCGCTCTACGCATGTCTATGGCCACACAGATCGTCATGTGGTATGTAGACCTAGTTCGCGCGAGCATCTCACTGACTACCTCTCGTTCAGCTCGACGTCTACCACCCACCGACGACCCAATCGCGCGATACCATGCGAAAGCCGCATATACTGGTGTTCTTCTACGGGGGAAGCTTCGTCCGAGGAGCGCGCATCGGCACCGCTCCCCCACAGGATCTCGTCCATGCCAATCTCGGAGCGTTCTTCGCCTCTAGAGGTATCCTGGCGGTTGTGGCAGACTACAGGCTGATTCCCGGGATCACCTTCCCCCAAGGGTCAGAAGACGTGCGGGATGTGCTGTTGTGGGTTGTCCAGAACCTGCCAGGCGAGGGAGACACGCAGAATATCTTCGTTCTTGCTCACTCTGCCGGTGGTGTGCACGTCGCCTCGCTGCTTTTGAGCCCCACGTTGTTTGTCTCTCCCCTCGCTGCAGCATTGAAGGGTGTGACCTTGCTGGGCGTGCCCTTCGACATTGGCAACGGGAAGCAAGGTGAGATGTGGGAGGCTGCGGTAAAGTATTACGGCAGCGCGCAGAAGATCAGGGACAATCAGCCCATCGGGCTACTGGGGCGGTCAGACACACGATTCATCTCGCAGCTACCACCGGTCTGCCTCGCAGTGGCGGGGAGTGAGCCGCGCAGGATTGTCAGGGCAAGTGGGTCATTTGCATCGATACTGAGGAGGAAAGGTGGATGCGTAGACGAGGTTGTGCTGGACGGGCATGATCATATGAGTCCAATTGTTGCTCTGAGTTCTGGGTACGGCGAGGAGTGGGGTGATGAGATGGCGCAGTGGATATGCAGTCATTGCATCTACGATTCAGAGTCGTCATCCGCTGCAAGTAATCCAGGATCAGGATAACAAGTGACATGTTGAGCCGGTTCAGTAAGTGCTTGAGTACATCTCGTCCTCAGATCCATGCAATCGTTGACCTGCAGACAAGCCTACAGTTTACATGATGACTCCTGTCTTCGCAATACGACGATCCACTTCGTCTCAATCTACTCTGCATAGTCCTGTCAGCTACACATTTAATCAGTCCCTTTGGCTACGTGAACCGGATCCATCCGCCTGGATTGAAATCATCTGTCTATTATCTGTCTCAGACTGACGTGTAGGCAGCTCACACATGGTCCCCCGGGCTGACGAGTGCCACTTGATCTCTGCTGGGCGCATGGTCAAAGTGTGTGCTCACACAATGGCTCCTTTGGCCCTTCTTCGTTCGTTCAGCCACATCCTCCTTGTTCTCCCTGTCCTCGCTGGGAACATCACACAGGGTGGATCTTGCTCTCCGGCCGACGACTACCTCGACCCATCATCGCACAGATTCCTCAGCGATTGCGACGCGACAACGTTCTGCTCTCCTACAAATGGCACGGCTATCAATGTCTCGGCGAGCAACAACAGCACGACGGGCACCTGCGAGCTGCGCCAATGTCGGCGTGACGAGTTTCCCTTCGGGTACGCCGATAGCGGTACACCGCTGCCGCCGCTTTGTACACGCGGGACCTATTGCCCCGACGAGGGCAGCGGATGCGAG